CGTTTCATGCCCGCTGGTGTAGACGCACAGTTTGGTGATCCTCCTGCCTAGGATATCTACTCTGCTAATTGGGAGAGCTCCACTGTTCCGTAGCCCAGTCGTTTTGGTACATAACTTTTGTGTAGTCTTTTGCTCATCTATGGGTATGGCGGGACCCTGTCCCATCGAGTTTCACTAATGTACTCTTAGAGGTCTGTGGACGTTATGTGGATTTTATATATATGTTTTGGATAATGGTGTGGATATGGTTTGTTTGGGATGTCCGCTTGTACAGGGGCAGCCCTTTCGGCTGCATACATTATTGTGTATTATGTAGTGGCAGCCTTGTCGGCTTACGTATGTTATTATGCTTGGAATAGTGGCGGCCTTGTCGGCTCGCGTATGCTGTTATGGTTGAATAGTTATGACTCCTTATGAGACAGGTCCTCTTATATATGTATGACGTTGGGGTTGGCTTGATTTGAATAAATTCCATATTGTCTTAGTTTCAGTTGGTTATACTTAGCACGTTTGTTTGTGGGTGTCCAAAACGGGCACTAGTCACGGCCCATCGGGTTGGGTCGTGACAAAGAGTGGTATCTGAGCGGTTCTTCCTCGGAAGTGTCTACAGACCGTGTCTAGTAGAGTCTTGTTTATCGATGTGTTGTGCACCGCATCTATAAACAGGAAGCTACAGGACATTTAGGATGTCATTCTTTCTTCTTATTCTAGATCGTGCGATAGAGCTATATCAACAGGATAATCCCTCTCTAACGAATCCGTGTGTTTTCAGCTATGCCTCCAAAGAAAGCGACAGCCGCCCAGAACGGAAAATCGGTAGCAGAAGGTACTAGTCAGACTCGGAGAGTTACTAGGGCCCGTGCCCAGTCTATGCATGGTATTATGCTCCAGTCAGAGAGCTCTGCTACGCCGCCACCGCCAGCGGAGCTTAGATCAGCAGCAGCTCCAGTTCGGGGGACACCACCAGCCCCCGAAGCCCCAACACCTGAACCTCCAGCTCCTCAGTTAGGGGCGGAGGATAGGGCCATGAGAGATGCAGTTCAATTGCTGACTAGATTAGTGGCAGATCAGGCTCGCAGGCATGGACTAGGAGTTGATCATGCGGACAGATCTGATAGCTTAAGGGCTCGTGACTTATTAAGTTGTAATCCTCCAGAGTTCTTTGGGTCAAGGCCCCAGGATGATCCGCAAGAGTTTATTCGTCAGATGCAGCGTACATTGAGGATAATCAAGGCTTCGGAGACCGAGTCTTTTGAGTTGGCTACGTATCGTTTGCGGGATGTAGCTATTAATTGGTATGACTCTTGGGAGTTATCTAGGGGTGAGGGTGCTCCTCCAGCGGTATGGGATGAATTTGTGGAGGCTTTCCAGGGCCAGTTCCTGCCTCCAGAGATGAAGAGAGCTAGAGTCGATAGATTCATGCGTTTGAAGCAAAATGACAGGAGCATTCGAGAGTATAGCCTCGAGTTTGATTCATTGGCTAGGCATGCGCCTACTATTGTGGCTGATGAGTTTCGAAGCGGGCAGTCTAAGCAGCATGTTAGATTTTCTTCCCAGCCAGCACAGAGTGCACCCCCACGTTTCATGGGTAGGGGGTTCGATCGTATGGGATATTCGGAAGTTGGTCAGAGCTCTAGGGCGTCCGGGTCACAGAAGGGCAGGGGTTTTAGCCAGTCGAGGCCACCTTTGCCTCGGTGTTCTCGTTGTGGTAAGTCCCATCCTAGGGAATGTCGTTGGGCAAAAGGTGCGTGTTTTTCTTGCGGCCATCAGGGCCATACTATGAGGGAGTGTCACCTTAGAAGTTTTGTAGGTGGAATGGCACAGCCTACAGGGTCCGTCGCTGGTTCATCTTCTTCTGTGGCTATGCGCCCAACGGGGCAGGGTATTCAGGCGCCAACAGGCTGTGGTAAAGGACGTGGTGGAGTTTCCAGTTCTAGCGGTCCCTCAAACCGTATATATGCTTTGACTAATAGGCAAGATCAGGAGGCGTCACCTAATGTGATCACAGGTATATTACCACTATTCTCTCGAAGTGTGTATGCATTGATAGACCCAGGTTCCACCTTATCATATATATCTCCCTTTGTTACTAGTAGGATCGGAATAGAGTCTGAGTTGATAGAACCATTTGAGGTAGCTACACCTGTAGGAGATTGTGTCATATCTACGCGAGTATATAGGAATTGTTTAGTAGTTATATATAGTCGTAGTACCATAGCAGATCTGATTGAGTTAAATATGATTGAGTTTGATATTATCATGGGCATGGATTGGTTAGCTTCTTGTTATGCTAATGTTGATTGTAGAGGAAAGATAGTTCGATTTCAATTTCTAGGGGAACCGATTATAGAGGGAAAGGGAAGTACAGTATCGCCGAAAGGTAAGTTCATTTCATACCTCAAGGCCAGGAAGATGGTTAGAAAAGGCAATATTTACCATCTGATTCGGGTGCATGACATAAAGGAAGAGGCACCGACTCTTCAATCAATCCCGGTAGTTAATGAAATTCCCGATGTATTCCCCGAGAAACTTCCAGGCCTTCCTCCAGAACTGGAGATAGAGTTTACTATAGATGTACTTCCAGATAGCCAGCCTATATCTATACCTCCTTATAGAATGGCACCTGCTGAGTTGAAAGAATTGAAAGAGCAATTGAAGGATTTTCTAGAAAAGGGCTTCATCAGGCCTAGTACGTCACCTTGGGGAGCACCGGTACTGTTTGTGAGGAAGAAAGATGGGTCGTTGCGGATGTGCATTGATTATAGGCAGTTAAACAAAGTAACAATAAAACTAAGGTATCCCCTCCAAAGGATTGACGATCTATTTGACCAGTTGCAGGGGGCAAAGTGTTTTTCAATGATAGACTTGCGGTCAGGTTATCATCAGGTGCGGGTAAGGGAGGCAGATATTCCAAAGACGGCATTCTGGACCCGATATGGGCATTATGAGTTTAGAGTGCTGTCTTTTGGGCTGACTAATGCTCCAGCGGTGTTCATGGGTTTACTGAATCGAGTATTTAAACCATTCCTTGATTTGTTTGTTATTGTATTTATAGACGATATTCTGGTCTATTCACGTTCAGAAGAGGTGCATGCAGACCATTTAAGAACGGTACTTAGGGTGCTTCAGCACCATAAGTTGTATGCTAAATTTTCTAAGTGCGAGTTCTGGTTGACTTCAGTGGCATTCTTGGGGCATATTATTGGAGCTGATGGTATTCGGGTAGACACGAAGAAGATTGAGGCGGTAAAGACTCGGCCCAGACCTACGACACCTACTGAGGTACGTAGCTTTCTGGGGTTTGCAGGATATTACAGAAGATTCTTAGAAAAGTTTTCCTCAATTTCAGCGCCTTTTACAAGGCTAACTCAAAAGGCTGCCAAGTTCAAGTGGACTGATGCTTGTGAGCAAAGCTTCCAGCTATTGAAAGACAAATTGACTACGGCTCCAATCATAACTCTTCCGGAGGGACCAGACGGCTATGTTATTTATTGTGATGCTTTGGGTGTTGGGCTAGGATGTGTATTGATGCAGCATGGCAAAGTTATAGCCTATGCCTCACGACAGCTTTGGAAGCATGAAAAGAACTATCGTACTCACGATCTGGAGTTAGCGGTCGTTGTTCATGCCTTGAAAATATGGAGAAATTATTTATATAGCGTCCATGTGGACATTTATACAGATCATAAGAGTCTCCAATATATCTTTAAACAGAAGGAGCTGAACTTACGACAGAGGTGGTGGTTAGAGTTGCTAAAGGATTATGATGTTGATATTTTATATCATCCAGGGAAAGAGAATGTTGTAGCAGATGCTCTTAGCCATAAGTCCATGGGTAGCTTGACAGATGTACAACCAGAAAGGAGGGATATGGTTCGGGAGATTCAACGGCTATCCAGCCTTGGAGTCCGTCTAGCTAATTTGGAAGATAGTGGAGTTTCTATTCGAGAGGTTGCCGAGTCCTCAATCATAGGTGAGGTAAAGAGATATCAATACAAGGACCCTATTCTGGCACAGTATGGAGATGCAGCTCTTCAAAAGGAAAAGACCCTATTTAAGGTTACACCTGACGGAGTGTTACGATATAAAGGCAGATTGTGTGTACCCGATACAGCGGGGCTACGACGGCAGGTTATGGGAAAGGCACACTCTGCACGTTATTCTATTCACCCAGGGTCAACAAAAATGTATCATGACCTCAGATGCTTATATTGGTGGGATGGCATGAAAAAGGACATAGCGGAGTTTGTTGCTTAGTACCCAAATTGTCAATAAGTCAAGATCGAACATCAAAAGTCTGGTGGATTATTACATGAGATAGAGATCCCGACTTGAAAATGGGAGATGATTAATATGGACTTCATTACAGGCTTACCTCTGACTCAACGGAAGTATGACTCTATATGGGTTATTGTAGATAGGCTGACGAAATCGGCCAATTTTCTTCCAGTCAGGACTACTTATTCGGCTGAAGATTATGCGAGGTTATATGTCAGGGAGATAGTGAGACTTCATGGGGTTCCCACGTCCATTATATCAGACAGAGGAGCTCAATTTATAGCCAACTTTTGGAGATCGTTTCAGAAGGGATTGGGGACACGGGTAAACCTTAGCACAGCTTTTCACCCTCAAACTGATGGGCAGGCTGAGCGTACTATTCAGACACTAGAAGATATGTTGCGGTCCTGTATTATTGACTTCAAAGGTAGCTGGGATGACCACTTGCCGCTCATTGAGTTTGCCTATAATAATAGCTACCATTCTAGTATCCAGATGGCACTGTACGAGGCCTTATATGGGAGGAAGTTCAGATCACCTATTGGTTGGTTTGATGTTAGCAAGACTAAGTTATTAGGCTCGGATATGATTCAGCAAGGTGTTGACAAGGTGAAGCTTATTCAAGAAAGATTATTAGCAGCCCAGAGTCGACAGAAGTCATATGCAGATAATCGGCGTCGAGATTTGGAGTTTCAGATTAATGACTAGGTATTCCTGAAGGTATCACCCATGAGGGGTGTGATGAGATTTGGCAGGAAGGGGAAGCTCAGTCCGTAGGATAGGAAAGGTTGCCTATGAGTTAGATCTACCATCTGATTTGGAGGCGGTACATCCAGTCTTCCATGTATTGATGCTACATAAATGTATTGGTGATCCTTCTAGAATATTCCCCGTAGATGATATTCAGTTAACAGAGGAGTTGTCATATGAGGAGAAACCCGTGGCTATACTTGATCGTCAGGTTAGAAGGTTACGTACTAAGGATGTGGTTTCCGTCAAAGTGTTGTGGCAAAATAACAATAGGGATGAGATGACTTGGAAAGCAGAAGACGAAATGAAGAATAAGTATCCTTACTTGTTCCCCGTACCTGTAGGTAATTCAATTCCTAGCTTGACTATATTGATAAATAATGAGATTATGTAGCTGTGAGGCATCTGTAAGTTACGGAATGCTGGTTGATAGGTATAACTTTTAGAGAGACCTCGCTGGAATATGTTTTTGCAAGACGCTAACTTAACATTCGAGGACGAATGTTCCTAAGGGGGGAAGGATGTTATGCCTCGTTTTTTTATATACGTAGTGTGCATCGTGATCTAGTAGACGTAAGTCCCGGGAATGAGATTTTATTTTAAGTTCCAAGTGATTAAAGAAATATAAGGCAAGGATGTTATTTCCAAATGTGATATTAAATATGAGTTGGCTAATGTAAGTGTCATTAACTTTAAGTGAGGGATTAATTAAAGGCTAATTTGGATTGATTTAATCAAATAGGCCCCACCACTCATAATTGGTGGCTGACTAGAATTAATTTAATCCAGTGGGCCCCACCACTCAAGGCAAAAATTATAAAGGGATCAATTGTGAGCTGGCCTTAGTGGACAGGTGTAGAGGGGGGCTGCCTCCACTTCATACTATTAAATGAGGTGGAGAAATCCACTCCATGCTAAATAAATTGGTGAAATGCATTGCTGCATATCATCTTCTTCTTCACCACTTGTCTTAGGCAGCCATTGAAATGGAGAAACCAACCCTGCAACTCTTGGCCAGCAGCTGTAAATAATTTGGTTAGTAATCTCCTTGTTTGGTGTGTCAGTTCTTTAAAATACCTTTGTTAATTATCCATTAATTTTAAGAACGGGGCGTGACCAGTAGCTTAGGAAGTTTGTTTTAGTTATTGAATGTGCTAGCTTTGAACGGAAACCATAATCGGATTATTAGTGGTGTTGTGTTGGTGCTTGGGTTGTTTTGATTAAAGCAAACTGCAGGAAAATTCTATTTTGGCATTAGGTATATGTTGAATGTGATTATGAGTATATAGTCCAAAGGATGAATACGATAAGGTAGATGTGTTGCGAATTATGAAACGAGTTATCGCTCGGTGTGTTGTTGCTTCGCTTCTATGGTTGCTGAGACGGAACTGTTTTGGGGAGGGGGCTGTTTAATATGATTCGTTGGGTTTTATGTGTTATTGGTATTGCTGTGGATAATTTGGGTTGTTGTCGGATTGGGACGAAGTAAGGAAACTAGGGGAAGTGATGCCGAATTTTCGTTAGATTATTAGCTAGCTTACAAGAAAGTAAAGCTATATGTTTATCTAATTGCGGCACAATTGTTGCTTGTTATAGATTAATAGCTCGAGCAGTAAATATTGAACGTGCGGCTCGATTATACGGTATGTGACGCTGTCCCTTCTTTCTTTGTTTGGCATGACTTTTTAAAATAAGCGAATAACGGACAAGTTTGATACTTACCTCTAGAGCGTCTAGGTGACGTATATTCTTGCTTCCACAATTATTCCTCTATATATCGGCTATGTCTAAGGCTATGATGATCTCTAATATCTATGGTAGTGCTTCTTAGAATCATTGTGATTTTAAATTTCCATATTGTATTAAAGGTTCATAATCTTGATAAAACATTAATCTTTGGTAACACTCCTTGCTGGTTCACGTTGATTGTTCTATTGA